TTTGGGTCAGATCCTATGCCCTTTTGTACTTGGCACCCTCCTGGCTTTGTCTTGCTGCTACCAAGGTCGGTGGCATTGGGGTGGGGGTGGCGAGGAGGTCAGGTGAGGTGAGCCCCTCCTGTCTGCAGCCATGTGGGGACGTTCTCAGACCGCAGAGGTTGCGCGGTGGCACCTGGACCCTATGGCGCAGCACAAGGGGATTCTTGCCTCGTATCCTGGGAGCAGAGCTGGCGCTTTGGAGCCCCACAGGGCAGGGAGCTCCCCCTCCTCCTTCCTCGTTGTTTGTGTTTATTTTAATGGGAATGGCTCCGTCCTGATTCACGGTGGCACCCGGCTGCTCGGTGACATGCCGGGCACGTCGATGGCACTGAGACGTGGCAGCTGCTGGGCGTCTCAGCTGTCAGTGGGGCTTTTCTGCATCGCCAGGTAGCAAAAACCAAGGGAGATGATGAAATATAGCAAATGCTCAGCCAGCCGTGGCTGCAGCCGTTCTGAAAAGCCCAAGGCCGGATCCAGCAGCAGCCGCTCGCTGCAAGGTGTTCGGGGCTTAATTAGAAAAGAATCAGCTCTGAGATGGAACCGTTTGCAGTGCTGTGCTTTACGTGCTGTCATCCTAAGGATATTGGAGCAGCAAATCCAAAGCCTGCACGTGATGCTTGTCTGAGATGTGGTGATACCTGGGTGCAGTGTTCCTACTTCTCCATGGTAACCGCTGCTGCCACTCCGCACATCGGAGCTGCTCTCTTTGCTCATCACTATGCTGTCACTGTTGGAGGAAGGCATATCACTAATTACTCGTTGATGGAATTCTGCCACGTTAAAAGAGAAAATATTGCTGCTGCAGGAGCTCATTGAAAGGAGGGGGTGAGAAGCGAGCCAGGGCTGTGGCAATGAACAGGAGCTCCAATCCCAAACGGGATCCTTCTGCACACACCATGCAATTTGGGCCCAATGGAGGAGAGCCCTATTTGGGGTTTGATGAGTGGAGCCATGGTGAGGTTTGATGGAGGGGAGCCACGCTGGGATGCAACAGAGGGGAGCCCAGTTGGGTTTTGATGGAGCAGAGCTGTGTTTGGGATCTGATGGAGCAGAGCCCTATTTCAGATCTGGTGGAGGAAAGCCCTGTTGGGGTCCAGTGGAGCGGAGCTGTGCTGGGATTTGACGTAGGAGAGCTGTTGGGTTTCAGTGAAGCAAAGCTCTCTTTGGGATACGATGGAGAGGAGCCTCCACTGGAGGGGAGCCCTGCTTGGGTCCAGTGGTGTGGAGTCCTCTTTGGATCCCATAGAGGGGAGCCTTATTTCAGATCTGACAGAGGGGAGCCCAGTTGTGAAGTGATGGAGTGAAGCCCTGTTGGGATCTGAGTGGAGCCCTGATTGGAGTCCGATGGAGTGGAGCCCTACTGGGGTCTGTTGGAGGGGAGCTCTAATGGGATCTGATGCAGGAGAGCCCAATTGGGGTCTGATGGAGTGGAGACCTGTTAGGGATCCAGGGCCCTGTTTGGGACCTAGTGGACTGAAACCCTTCTGGGATCCAGTAGTGGGGAGACATGCTGGGATCTGATGGAGGAGAGCCTTACTGGGATCCAGTGGATTGGAGCCTGGTGGAGCAGATCTCTGTCTGGGACCGCTCTCTGAACTGTGGCTCGTTTACTTCACGATTGTGAAAAGACAGCAGAAAGGAAGGGGTTTCTTCAGGTGAGGTAAGGTCAGGTTTTACTGCCTGACCGAAATGCAGCCAGATGTCAAACCGAAAATTGAAGGCCAAAGAGAGCCATGAAAACAGAAATATGGCTTGGGCAGGACACCCAGGGTGAGGGAGGTGGTGGAGGCTTTGACCAAGTGCCCTGCCTTGCCAGAAAGAAGTGTGGGCAGGTGAGGAAGCTGATGGGAAGGAAGGAGACATTGATTTTGGGGCCGTATTGCTTACTTTGAGGATTCAATCCCAGCATCTTCAGGGTGTGAGATAACCCTGCATGGCAGACAGGAGGGTCTTCTGCAGAGTGCTGAAATGTGGTTAATCCAGTGCTGCTGAAACAGGGAAAAGCCACCCAGGAGGGTGGAAGGGGGCTGTGGAAGCAGCTCCCGGCAGCACAGAGGTGGCTGCGGCGGTACGTGAAGCATTTGCACTGCAGTTTCCTTTTATGGGAAGCAGCTCCCGTTCCAAGCGAGGCATGGGCTGACGGATCCCATATGGCAGACAGGTTTGTCGTGGTCTGGAGGCTGTCAGCCTGCCTAGGAGCAGCTCGCTGCTGCATCGAGCTACGTTTTAGTACTGGAGGATGAGCACAGGAGTGGTTTAATGGAGAGTACGTAACCAAGAGATGCAGGTTTTCCAACCGTTGCTTCGTGTGGGTTCATTCGTTCTGTTCGCCTCTTGGTTCCTGGAGCTCAGCCTGGAGCACCTTTGGGTGCTGTTGTGTGAATGCTGTCTGTTGGATGCACGTGCGGATGTCAAAAAAGTCCTCGTTCTTATTATGCTTATTTGCTGATTAAGGGTGAAACTGTGTAAATGGAGGGCTAGGAGAAGAGCCCTGTTTAGATCACTCTTTACAATAATAGCTATTAACGTTGTTGTAATGTGTAATTATTATTAATCACTGCTAACTTGTAATAATCGCTTTGCACATCTGTAGACTTTCATATTTTATAGCAATAAGGAACAGTGCACGGGCTTTGTAGAAAAGGTTTGGAGGGCAGTTTTTAGACCCCAAAAGCTTGCAGGCTTTGTTCTTTGGCAGAACGGGGGGCAGAAGGGAGAAACGTGGGGAAAAAAAATCCAGATTTGAGGTTGATTCCTATTAATTATCATACAGGAGTGTATCTGGGTTGGGAATCCCCGGTGAAAGCGCTACACCAACATAAGTCCAAGGGTTTGCTGCTCTCCAAAAAGCTCTCAGTCATCTTCTCAGTTTGCAATGCTTTTGTTGCTCTTGTGTGAGTTTGGGGTTTTGTTTCCAAGCCTCTGGTTTGTACAAGGGCGAGGTGAGATCATAGAGTCAGTGAGGTTGGGAAGGACCTCCAAGATCTTCTCGTCCAAGAGAGACTGGGAAACCTGCTCCAGCCACAGAGGTTTCCTTACCCGTGACACCCCAAAGCAGAAGGCTGGAGCTGCTGGCAGCTTGTGGAGAGCCTAGAGACCTCAAGAACAGCCAACCGCCCAAAGCAGGGGCTGTGCTAGGTTGGGATATAAAGCCTTGTGCTTGTTTGCTGGCTTCAGATAAATCCAGTCCCTTTCACTCCACCACCTCTCCTGTTGCTAACGAGCAGAACGCTGATGGGCCGTGGGGACCTCTCCATGCTGGTGTGGCCCTTGGGGACCAGAACACTGGTCCCGGATGTCCTCTTCTTCTGTAGCACTTTCCATTTAATAACTGGAGCTTTTCATTTGCTAATTGGCACTAATTAGCTATGGGGTGAGAGGCATGCCCTCCGCTGGGGCTCCATGCTCTCTCTGGGGCTCCTCTTCTATATTTTTCTCCTTCTTAACATGCCACATGATTTTGCTCAGGAGCTAATGTGCGATGTTGATCTCCATAATGAGCCTTTTTGACAGTCTGGGCACATTTGGGAATAATTCCTTGAGCAGACGAAATCCTTAGGCCAGAACTGCTCGTTCTCAGCGGTTTCCAAATGAAGCTGCAATTGTTCAGCAGTGACAGATGAGAAATAGTTCGGGAGCTGCAAATTGCACAAGCTGGGAACAGATTTCTCTCCTTCCCATCCGGATGGCACGTGACTCACTCAGATTTTGCTGGGTAATTTTATACCCATCTCCAACCAGCCTACATGTGCAGAGCAAGGGAGGGCAGGGGATGAAATCTGCGTCCTGAACGTGGGCTGGGCGGTGGTGGTCCTCTCCTGGGAGCAGAAAGGCGTTTGGATTTTGGTACGTGCATCCAGTTGTATTTGCTCAGCCTCGTCCTCCTTTGTTCTTTGTTTTCATTGAGCATCAGTATGAGCGTTTCTAAAATCTGCATGCATTGCACTCCGTGACCTTGGCTGCTGTCGCTCTCTGGAGGTTTGGCCAGGCTATCTGCAGGTCTTCTCACAGATGCATTCTTTGCTGTTTTGCAGGATTTTTCCCCTCTTTTTTATCCTAATCCATTTTGAACGAGTGTTAAAAATATATTCTGGTGTGATTGCTGTTTCACCTCTGCACCCAAACCTCCTCGCTGGACTGCTTGCAGTCATGCTGGCTTGCTGCTGGAGAAGCTTTTCAATACACCATAGCATCACAGAGCAATTGGCTTGGAAGGGATTTTAAAGATCACAGAACCATGGAATGATTGGGTTGGAAGGGACCTTGAGGACCACGGAACCATAGAACGGTTGGGTTGGAATGGGCATTAAACATCAGAGAGACTCAGAAGGGTTGGATTGGAACGGGCATTAGAGATCACAGAACCACCAGAAGGAATGGTGGCATTACAAGGGATCTCACAGCCCTGCAAACCCCACTGCCTGCCATGGGCTGCCTGCCCCCTACCAGCTCAGGCTCCTCAGGGTCCATCCATGGCCCGGGGATGAGGCACCCCTGCTGCTCTGGGCAAACTTGTCGTATTTCTGTAGCGAGGAGGACAGACAGAATGTCTGATGTGGTCCTTAGGTATAAGAGTGTAATCGAGGTGGACCTTTTGGGTGCTGGAACATCTGTGTGCTGGTATCTGTGGTGTCCTGCTGCACTTGGCGGGATGGAGCATCTCACCCAACCCTGTCCTGTTTTTCACTGAACATCATTGCAAGGGGGAACTCTTGGAGATGTCTGGAGAGAAGTGAATCTTCAGGCCGGTTACTATGAATTGGAAATGCAGAAATACAGCAGAACACGTCCAACCTGCAGTAAACCATAGGAGAATAGCAGCCAAGGCCCAAGCTGGCTGCTTTCTCTAATTAGCAGGTATAGGGAAAGCGGAAGACACGCCTGTTGGCTGTGCCTGGAGGAGAAGAGAGAGGGGAGCAGCCAAGGAGCAGCTCTCACATTCCATCCTTTTCCTCCCCCAGGTCCCCTCGCTCTGCAGGCTCACAGCCGAAAGGATGGAGAACTCGTCAGTGGCCTCGGCCTCCTCGGAGGCGGGCAGCAGCCGCTCGCAGGAGATCGAGGAGCTGGAGCGCTTCATCGACAGCTACGTGCTGGAGTACCAGGTGCAGGGGCTGCTCAGCGACAAGACTGAGGGCGACGGCGAGAGCGAGAAGACGCAGTCCAACATCTCTCAGGTTGGTGGGGATGTGAGCAGTGGGGCCGAGCCACGCGAAGGGGTCTTTTCTAGCCTAGAAATGCAAGGAAACGTTGGATTCGGGGCAGCCACGTGTGAGGGTGCCAACGGTTGGTAAAGGTCTGCTGACTGCGTTTTGTGCTTATCGCGAAGTGGCCTTGGGATGTGCCCAGAGGGTTTTTGACCACTCTGTGCTTTCTGCTTCGAGTGGAGTGTGCTGTACACAGTGTACAGCACAAACACGTGTGCCTGGAAAGCGATGGGTGCCCTTTGGGTGTCCCTTGGGACTGGGTGAATGCCTCTTCCCCCACAGACTACATCCAGGAAACAGAGGGATGGCTTACAGCAGGTGTGATTCGGTGGTTTCATTAGGAGCAAAGACAACAACGGTTGTGTCCCTTTAAAAATTGACTTTCTAAGTCCTACCCAAGGAGAAATTTAACTCTTGAGCTGGTGGTGGCGTTTGAAGGAATGTCCTGGTGTCGTGGTGTGCTGGTAGATGTGTAATAGTGGACGGGGTGCACGGTTCTGCAGCAGGATCCCTCTGTCCCAGTGGCAGAGAAGTGCCATGGCAAGGCAATGCTTGTTCTGCAGAGATACACCAGCAATCTCGTCATAAGATGAGTGTAGGATGAGCATATCAGGTTGGGTATTAAGGAATAACTTCTCCAAAGAGCTGTCAGGCACTGGCATAGGCTGCCCAGGGAGGTGATGGGGTCCCTGACCCTGGAGGGATGGGGAAGAACCGTGGAGATGTGGCACTTGGGGACATGGTCAACGGGCATGGTGGGCTTGGGGAGCTTGGAGGTCTTTTCCAACCTCCACGATTGTGTGATTCTGTGATAGAATCCTAGAAACTTCTGTATTGAAAGGGATCTGTGACAATCACTGAATCCAAACCCTGGCCTCACAGAGCACCACCCAAATCTCGGGGACATCCCGCTGCCCTAGGCAGCCTGTGCCATGCCCAACCCTGGCACAAAGATATTGCTTGTCAGATGAACCTTTGAAAGTAGGTTTTGCTCAGTAGAGGACTTCTGCAAATTGAGGATCAAAGTCATTAGAGGTAAATTAGAAAATTCAGATGATCCCAAGCACTTTAGCAGGTCATTTGTTTAACCCGAGGCCAGGAAATGGCTGTGTTTGAAGTGATGCTTTGGAGGGGCTTCAGGCCAAACAGGCTGTTGTCAGCGTGTCAAGTTGAGAAATACTATTGAATTAGAAATAAATGAACAGGCAGAGTTTTGCTTCGTGGTTCAGAAGAGGCACAGCACGGAGTGGTAGAACAGTTTGCCCTTTCCAACAAAGAACAGGGTCTGTGAGATGTGGTGCTCAGTGAAAAGGCATCATTACACCTGAGCAAGAGGTGCGAGTGCTGTTGGGAATGGGGTGGTGTGCCCACACCTCTGCTGTTCCAGCCAAATCCGTCCTGCTGTGTGTGGCAATGGGACTGTGGCTTTTCTGCATGACCTGAAAGCAGCTGCTGGCTACCCGTAGGACAAGAAACGAGGCTGATTTACATGTGTCACCTGCTGCTATCAAGCCGTGCGTACACTATGAAGGAATTATCTGTTGTGTCCAAAAGATACTCGCTTTCCTACCTTCATCATACCTCAGACTTCTGTAAGAAATAACCAGGGATCGTTTGTTTTCCTTCCTGAGCACTCCTATCAAAGCAGTAAGCATGCATGCACAGGCGAGCTGTTTTGTCAGCCAGGCTGAAGGCAGCAGGCTCCCTTTAACGAGGGCTGCAGGAGGAAGGATGGGTTTGTGGCTAAGCACTGGACTGAGACCAAGAGAGCTGTGTTAGCTGCAGGGTTCTGCTGCCACTTAATCGCTGACTTTGGGCGAGCTGCTGAGGCTCCGCAGTCTGCTTCCTTCTGACAGGGAATCGAAATGGCTTAAGGATGAAGCAGAACCTTTCATCTTTACAGAGGGAAAGTTACTTTATCGTTATTATTACTTCCAGCGTTATGCCGTGGCTCTTCTTCTCGTTGTGGAGTGGTGACCAGTGACCCCAAATTGAGCTGTTTTGGTACAGACACCTCTGTAATGCATTGGCTGAGTCAGCAGCTCTGCCTTCTGTGTCGTTTAAAAGCAGAGAACGACAAAAAGAACAGAAAGGCACAACTTTTTTTCCCACCCCCCGTCTTTAAAACCCTCTGTAACGATGCAGCCCGGTGATGGCTGCAGCAGCATCTCCAGCTTCCTGCTGTTGTTCCTCTTGTGGCCATCGCCGGGCAGAGCATTTCCCAGCCAGTGCCTTCGGGATCATCCCTGCTGGTCAGAGGGAGCCCTGTTGTTCTGGAACAGAGCTGGTGCTGCAGAGAGAAAGCTGTGGATGCTCCACATCCCAGCACAGTCACGGTGCTGTTTGCTGGGTGATGCTTGCTGCGGGCTGATGCAGCAGTTTCCCCAGCCTGGCTATTATTTTACACAATGCCTTTCTATCCCTTTTGCAGTGGACGGCGGATTGCAGTGAGCAGCTCGATGGCAGCTGCTCCCCATCCAGAGGGAAGGGCTCGTCGTCCCACCAGCACAAGCAGGTAGGGGAGCATTTAGTTTTTCCTCTCCAGAGCTTTGCTTTTTGCCCTTATTCTACAACCTGGGAATGCTGAACCCGTACTGCAAGCTCAGCGTTGGGATGGTTCCTCCTTCAGGAGGACCCAGCGAAGGCACTGGGCTTGGTGGAAACCAAGCATGCAGGTTCTACGTTTGCATTCTTCAGGAGCAGTGTTTTGGGATGCTGTGGCCTCGGACATGGTTGCATCTTCATCCTTTCTCTTTCATGGCTACATTTTTTTTTTTTTTTGTGGTTGCACACCTCAGTTTATCAGTATCTCCTCAAACTCTGGGATGAAACACCTCCAGGTTTAGTGCTGGGAACTGGAGGGGTGCCTGTTGGGCTTCAGACTCGCCTCAAATCCAGCGGCGCTGTCTGGAGCAGCGAGCCTGGGGGAGCAGCAGTGTGCTTCAGGAGCTGCAGTGAGTGCAGCACTGCATTGTGACCCCCAGCACAGGAATGCTGCCAGAGCGGGCCCCAGAGGAAGCACCAAGATACTTGGAGGGCTGGAGCACGTCTCCTGAGGGCAGGCTGAGGAAGCTGGGGGTCTGCAGAAGAGGGAGTCCTGGGGAGACCTTCCAGTACATTGAGGGAGAAGGACTGCCTTTTCACATCAGCAGATAGTGATGGGTCAAGGAAGAATGGTTTAAAAAGAGGGAAAATTTAGGTTAGATGGCAGTGAGGCCCTGACACTGCTGCCCAGAGGAGTGTGGGTGCCCCATCTCCACAGCTGTCCAAGGCCCATCCCCAAGGTTGGGGATGCTTAGGGTTCCCTTCAAACCCAGCTATTCTGGGATCAGACCAGTTCTGTGGTCTTTAAGGACCCTCCCAACCCAACCATCCCATCATTCTGAGACACCTTTTCCCTCTGCTCTGTCACCAAAAGCCACCAAAAGGAGATGAGCATCTTGCCAGATATGTTATGCAAAAGCACTGTACTTCTACATAAGGTTTACCAATCCCAAAGAACGTATGCGAAGGCGAGCTCCAGTTCATCAGTTTAACAGCTAGGTGGTTACTAGGGGTGGCTGACCACTGGGATTACCTCCAGCAGATACTGGTGGCCAGCAAGATATCTGCACAATCCCTTCATACCGTGGTCATATATATATATATACACACAAACTGTTGGCAGTGGCTGCCCTAGGGGAAGCTAGAGCACAGCTAACATCCGTGTATGCCCAGGCTGCGCTCTGTGCTCTGCTTTCCCCACGTCTGGGCTCTCTCCCAGCCTGCAGCAGAGCTTGTAATTATCTCTCTCCGTGTTGGGCTTCCTTTAACAGCGAGGAACAAATTTTCCTTGGCACCAGAGAGGAGCTACACGCTATTGTTCTGCTGCCCAGGCAGCCTTTTTCTTTCTGCTATGGATATACAGCCGAATCGCTGCTGGTGAGAGTGGGGCTCAGTGCATTACTCTTCCTGGATGCTTATTTTTCTCATTGGTAGCGTGGAAAGGAAAAAAACATTAATGAGGTTTTTGTCTTGCGTGTGAATTATCACTCCCTCTTCAAACCTGCTTGGGAACAAGAAGCCAGCTAATCGTTTCCCGAGGGATGATGTTACCTTTTGTTTTTCACTGCGATTTGTGAGGGGTTTGAGATTTTCTTATTGGAAAGGGGAACTCTTTGATTTTTGTATTTTCTTTCCAGCTGGGCGTTCCACATTGTGCAGTGAGGCTGCGGGGAGGAGGAAAGCCCAGGCCTTGGTGCTCATGGGGCATCTCCTGACATGGGCTGCATGAAGTCCTGGTGTGCTGAGGGGAGCCCAGTCTCACCTTTCCATTCTGCTCAGCTGTAGATCTCCTGGGAACACTTTGGTTTGCTGCACAGCATGGCACTGAGCCCTGTGGTGATCCTGCAGTGCACTGGGCAGTGCCCCCAGAGGGTCCTTTGGGGTGGAAACCAATGGTCTGTGGGGTGAAGACGTACCCTGTTGGTACATACGAGGTACTGCTTGTGCCAGGATGCACAAGGGAAGGTTGGATCATGGCAGCATTTCAAATCTTCTCATGCTTAGATTTTATTTTTTATCTAAAAACACCCGCTGGGAAGATTTTATGTCGTACACTATTTGCGTTCCCCTCGTGGGGCCGAAGATCTGATCTGCTCCTGAGGGCAGTTCGTTAAGCAAAAGGCTTTGTGGTGTGTTGTGTTTGGAGAGATCCATGGAGCTCTTGGATGTGAGAAGCCTGGCAACAGCTCCATGGCCGTCTCCATGTCCTTCCACATGCCATGGGGACTCGTAGCATGACCAGGTGCCTTGGGGGCTTCTCCAGGTGAGGGTCATGCTGTCTGTGAACCCAAGCCTTGATGATGCCAAAGGTAGGAGGAGCTCCCAAGCCTCCACAAAACCAAAGCTCGTCCACGTGAATCCTCAGCGACTCAGAGGTGCTCAGTGCTGTGCTGGTGTCAAAATGCTGCTCATGGGAAGTGCTGCACGACGTGTCCCTGCGTTGTGCAGGCAGGGGGCATCTGGGGACGTGCAGCCATGGGGGTGTGCGAGTGCTGGGGGTGCGGTGGGGTTGGAGCAGACCCACGTCATCCCTTAGGATGCTTCCCAATGACTCTTTTGAGCATGAAAACCCCTGTCTGACAAGCTTCCAGCCGTAGGAAGTGGTGTTAACATGTGAAGATGATTGACTCTGTTTCTATAGCGTTTTTTGGGTTGTGCTTGGCTGTCACGTTGAAGGGCTGTTGGGGCAAATGGGTGCAGCCAGACACAGCTGTTTGCTTTGTCTCACTCACAACAGAGAAAGAGAAGGCGAAAGTCAGGGAGTCACTTTGAGGCTCTGCCAGGGAATACAGGTTGGTGCAGCCCTGCCTCGGGAAGAAGCAATTAAAGCTGTCAGTGAGGTGACCAGCCCTCAAAGGGGATCAAGGAGCAGCTCTGGCAGAACCGGTCACTAAGTGGCATTCCTTCTGGAGCTGCTGCTGCTGCTCCCTCTGTGCAGTGAATGCAGATCTCCATGTGGCTGCCCAGAAAGGAATTAAACCATTCAGCTCATGTGTAGGTTCAGCTTGCTCTGGGGCTTCTGGCAGCACCCTTTATAAGGGTGGGTTGATTTATCCCCTCCATACTCCTTACACTCTCCATAACTTTCCATCCCCTCCAGGTTTTGGCACATCAGTGTTTGTCTGGGACGTTCGTGTGCTAAAAGGAGGTGCGTTGGATGTCACCGGTGCCTTTGGTCCTCAATTCTGTGCATTCTGCTACTGCTGCAGAGGGAAAGCAGATGGACCTTTTGTCTCTCGTGGCCATTCCTCTATTTAGGAAGTTTACCCTGGTAACTTGAAGATTGGTGCCACTCTACAGCCAGAACTCCTCGAGGGTGATCTTTGCTGTCCAGAATATCCGTGTCTGTGCCTGTCCTGGCACAAGTGACATTGTCACCTTCCCTGTTGGAGTCTGTTTGGCTCCAGGACTGTTCTGGGTTTTTGATTATCTGCTGGCTTAACACGTTTTATAAAAAATAGACATTTGAGATTGAGGGCATGATGTGACTTTCATATCCCTCGTTATATTGGAGGTGCTTCCAGCTGACTAGAAATGCTTCCAGGAAAGCAGCAATAGTCTGAGAGATAATGGCCTCAATTTGCACCAGGGAAAATTTAAGTTGGATATTAGGAGTAATTTCTTCTCTGAAGAGCAGTGATGCCCTGGTACAGGCTGCCCAGCGAGGTGCTGGAGATGTGGCAGCTGGGGACGTGGCTGCTGGGCATGGTGAGGATGGGTTGAGGTTGAACTTGGGGGTCTTGGAGGTCTTCTCCAACCTCAGTGCTTCTGTGACTCTATGACCTGCTTTAACCAGCTGTTGAGCAGCTGTTTTACAGAGGACTTGCAAAGCTAAGAGCAGGAGCTATGGTAAGTGTGCCCTTATCTCAGGCATCGAGCAGTCAAGAAACACTCCCCCTCAAGACACAAGTTATTTGCAAAGGGAATTGTTTCTTCATCTCTCTTGTTGTAACTGCTTGCTCTTTCTGTGCGTGGTTGTTTTTGTTTTTTCCTTCATGGTGTTTTTTTACAGGGGTGATTTTCTGCTTTTGTTGTAGTTTTACGCATTGAGTATAAAGAAGCTGGAAATTAGTCCCAGCTGAAACGTTTTCCCCATGTTTTAAAACGTTAAAATAACTATTTCTATTGTAAATAGTTATTTTTCCATGGAAAAAAAAAAAAAATTGGAATGCACACTCGTGAATTTGTCTAGAAGGGCCTGAAATCCTTGGTGACTTGTAGGACACCGTCCAGCTTGGTTGTAGGTGCTGCGTTGGGATGGTTGATGCTGGTGGCCATCTCAGATCTGCAGCTTGAGGCCCATGTCCCAAAAAGACCCTTTTTCTGCCCTGCCTTAAGCTGTGCTTTGAGCGTGGGAGATGTTCTGTAACACAAATCCCCTTTGGGATCCACTGCTGTCTTCATTGGTGGCTTCACCAACAGACCAAACTTCACCTTTCCAGTGAGGACAACCGCTTGGGGACTGCAGAATTTCCATTTACTGCATGCTCATCAGGGAAAGTTTTCCCCTTCTGCGAATGAGATTTTCCAGTGTGCACCGAAGCACCAGGAAGAAATAACTCTCGAGCTGGCAAAGGAAGCAGGATTAATTAGTTCACACCGCAAAGCTCCGCGAAGGTGAAAATTGCAGTGTGAGTGAAACATATGATTATTGCTAATTAAAATGTAAGTGTTGGATGTGACAGCTCAGAGGGTGGCTGGCAGGGTTGACACGCATATAGCCTCGCTGTTCCTAAGGGGATGCAGAGTTTGGCTGGGAGGATTTGCATGGATAAAAGCAGCTGCTGGCAGTCTCTCTCCCAAGGAGGTGTTGGGTCTCCAACCCCAAAATTTGGGATGGAGATTCCCTGTCCTGGTGGTGAATGTAGACCTGGAGTGGTAGCTGGAGCCTGCTGAGAGCCGGGGATGAGAGCTCGCAGATCTTCAGGGTGTTGGAGGAGGCTGGGAGAGTCCTTGTCTTCTGGGGACATGGGTCCCAAGGGAAAAAGGATGGGAGCATTTAAAGCACCGGCACGCTCGGGTTGCATCGTGCTGAGGAGGAAAGAAGGTGCTTCCTGCCGCCGGTGTTGCAGCTGGTGGGAACAACCACAGCTTCTCATGCTTGCTCTGTGCACAGCTCAAAAACTGGTTGGCTTCCCCTCTTTTGGAGTTAGTGCTGACTTGGGGATATGGCAGCCACAAGGTGTTTGTGCTTTCTGGCTTTGAGGGTGGGCAGCATGCAGTGGGGCCGTGCAGAGATGGGCACTGATGTGTTTTACCTCGTATTTGGTAAATCCAGCACCTTCCCTCTGGTCCCTTGTGTTGAGTAAAGCACCAGCAGGTAGAGGAGCACAGGAGACCCAACCAGGACATGGGCTTTGCCCAGAATTATTCACCTTTCAAATTTTTGGCGTAATAAGAGTTGAATGTTCTGCACTCTTTGATTTGGGGATTTTTAATCATCTCAGGTCACTCCTGAAGCCCTTTGGGAGCCTCTGAGGAAACCTTCAGGAGCAATTACCCTAACAAAAAACCCTTTTCTCCCCAAGCACCTTATGCTGTTTGGGTAAATAGAGGTGGTTGGGTTGGTTGTTCTGGTTTTGGCTTATTCATCTTGTCCCACGGGGCGCTGACTGACCAAGAAAGCTGTGGGGTGTTTGACTGCAGAACAAGTGTGAGGAGAAAGGAGGACATCAGGGACAAGCCCTGAAGGGACAGGAGTGACTGGGGTGGAGTGTTGGGCTGCTGAAGGTGTAAGGGGAGCAGGCTAAGCAAGGGCAAGAAGCAAACGAAGGGTTGATTTGGGGCATGGGGTTTGGGTTGGCAGGAATTAAGGATATATCTGCAGTTTCAGAGGATGCAGGGTGTATGTAGTGAATGGTCGTGGAGCCGTAGGAGGCATTGTTTTTCTCCATGCACGAACTAGTTTGCTATAGTTTAATCTTTACGGTCATTTTTTATCGCTTTGCAGTGCGGGAAGGTTCCATCCAGACGCATAAAAGGGCTCCAAGAAAAGGCAGACACAGGGCTGTGGTGCGTGGGCACGGCTCTCGAGGCGCAGGCGTGCGTGGCTCAGGAGCAGCAGATCTCCTTGGGCCGGCTGAGCGGTTCTGCTGGGTGGCACACTGACTCAAGCCAGCTGTTTGTTGTTCCAGGAAGATTGGGATCACAGCAGCGGCGGGAGCGCAGGATCGCGGCCGGGGTCAGGCTCCAGGTGTGGCTCTGGATCGAGGTCTGGGAGGAGCAGCCAGTTGAGGCGCACTACCAAGGTACACCTGGTAGCCGTGGGGAGAGCTGGGCACTGGCATCGTGTGCTGTGCTTGCTGTCTTTCGGAGGCCTCCAGCGGTGCGCGCTGTGTGTGTGCCTCCGTGTGGGCTGTGGTGCGTGCTGGTGTGCAAATGGCTGCCCTGCTTGTGCCCAACCCATCGCCTGACTGCTGAGGAATGCAGCTGTCCTTCGGCCTCGGCTTCTGCTAAGGTGTGCCTCGATGTTGGGCAAGAAGCTTGTAGCCGGGTGGTTGAGAGCGGAGGAGATTTGCTTTTTTTTCCCCTTGAAATCCCGGAGTACTTCTGATCTGGGAAGTTAAGAGATGCCTGTAATTATTTTTTTGGTGAGCCTTTGTTAGAGGTTGACGTAAGATTGAACGTTATGACCCTGAGTCCAGCAGCTTTCCAGGGCTAGGTGGGCAGCTTTCCTGCCTTGCAAAAAACATTGGTAGTTGGCTGCTGACGTGGTTTTAGGGCTTTTCTCTGCCTGAACTCAGTCCAGGGACCTCTATCTGCATGCATGAGTGTTGGTTGTCCCAAAGGCCGTGGCTAGCATTCAAAGTCCTGGTCCATCCTTGCATCTCAAGCATCCTGGAAAGCATGAAGAAACATCAGTGGTGCAGCGGTGGTTTGGGGCTGAGGATTGAATGAGGAGGAGACTTGTGCTCCAGTAGCACGTGCCAGAGGATAATCCCTCTGTTTATACCACGCACAGCACTGAGATCACTTGGTGCTGCTCTCTATCAGTGCAAAGCATGGCGATGAGACGTGTTGTTGCAATCGTGCCACGAGGAGCGTGATTTGGCACTTGCAGAGATTTGCTGGGGAATGGTAATGAGGAGTGGCAGGAGAAACCGGTGTGACACTGGAAAAAAAAAGAAAGGGCAGCCTGCATCTAAATGCTGACTTTGTGGGGAATTTGCTGAGGTTGCATGTGTAAGTAAACAGGCAGAGTCCACGTGGCGGGTGGCATGCTCTGTCCCCATCACTGTGTATTCTGGGTGTAGGCTTTGGTCACCTGAGTGTGTGCTTGTGAGATCTGGAGGACAGATGCTATGAAAACGCATTTGAACCATTCTGGGGGGTAGGGCTCATTTTACTGGATCTCTGCTGTCTCTGAGCATTAATGACGCTCTCACCACTGCGTCACTCAGTCATCATTGCTGTTGGCTCAATTAATTTGCAGCAGTTCCCCTTCACTGTGAAAATTAGTATCTAAGGCTGAGGGTTGGGTCGCAGGGAGCTCCATATTAAAACTGCTCGCCTCTGTAATTGCGTTCCTAGGGGAACTGGGAGCAAGGAGCTGCTTCTTTTAAATACACACAATTTATTTTTTCTCCTGGAATTGAGGATTGGCTTTTTCAGACCTATGGCAGTCTCAGCAGCATGCTGGGAGCTGCTGGTGACCTGAGGCACAACCCGGTTACCAAGTCAGGTCATCAGCAGGGGCTTGGAATGACCACAGTGATGCTGTCAGTGACAGATTTCGTTGTCACTGTGCCCCGGTCACCATTGTCACAGAGTTGGGTTGGTACCTGGAGCATCCCTGAGAGGAGGTGGGGACGTGGGCTGGGAGGACCAGGAGCTGCAGCCCAGATACTGCTTGAGCACTCACCCCCCTCTGACCTCCTGTACCTGCATGTGAAGCAGACCTGCAATTTCCACTAATTGCTGGGAGCTGGGTCCAAACTGGCTGCAGTGTGCTGTTAGGAACCCATTTCCACCTTGTCAGAAATTGTAGCTGTTTAGTATCTTGGTTGTTGATTGGCCTCTTTTTCATGGCAATTGCTTCGTTCCCCCCTCCTTATCCCCTGAGCCCAAACGCTTAGCTCTTGGGACATCCCATTGCAATTGGTTCATTGACAGGTGTTTAAGCATCCTGTGCTAATCGGAAGTGGAAAGAGAGATAGGTATTTCTGCAAGAAGAATTGCTTAAAGATGCCTTTAACCAAAGAAGGAATAAAGACCAAAGATCTTTGGTCTTGAGAAAGACCTTGAAGTCTGGAACTTCATGTAGAAATTGTCTTTTCTTAAATTATTTTTTCATTATTTTCTGTGTTACTGGAAAACGGCAGTTCCTCAGGAAAGCTTGGTGTGGTGGTGTAAGTACAGAAGTGGTTGTGCCTGTGTTGCAAGAGTGTTGTGTCTATGAGGAGACAAACCTGTTTGCTGGGAAGTATTGGTAATAAGTAAGTGTGTTGTGAATAGGAAATAGCATATCCATCCCACGTGAGTCTGAGTCGAGTCTGATTCCGTGACTGGCCCTGACAAAACCCAACATGCTGTACCTCTTTGCTGTTGTCTGCTTGTGGAGGGTGATGAGGGCAGCCCTCTGCTTGTGGGGAGGACACGTGGGGCCTGGTGATTGTAGAAGGGCTGTGAAGGATGAGAAGCAATGTAGGGTTTTGGCTTGGATGCTTTTCCATTGGGAAAAAATTGGAGCTTCAGTGTGGGGTTGTGTCCTACTGTGAGGCATTAGTAGAGCAAGGAGGAGCTGTGTCACCATGGCTCTTTGAAGAAGCAGTCACCACAGTGATGAAATGCAGAGGTTTTTCACCTTGTGCTTCACTAAATGAATCAGTGTGCTTGTTGGTGACAGCCATTGGTGGTGTTAGGAGCCATCTGGCTGTGGCCCTGGACGTCTGGCTCTTGGTGGCCCTTCTTGACCTTGGGTGGACAGGTCACCTTGGAAGTGCCTCTCCACATCAACCAGCAGGAGTTTTGTGGTCAGAATGCCAGCCTGCCCTCTGGGTCTGCGTTTCTTTGGGTCCACAGGCCCACACTGGATGTTGGGTAGGAGGATGGGGCCAACATCAACCCACATGTCTGCGCTGTGTTGTCCATAGCTCTGTGTCCCAAAGGCTGAAACCTCCCCTTCCTGCCTCGAAGTGCACTTTTGTAGCTAGCAAGGGATCTGTGTGTCATAGCAAGGCCTCTCGATGTGGAAGTGGGGAATGCTGGGTGCAGAGCAGAGCCTTGCGCCGTGTAACCACCTCTCCATCCTTCCTAGAATGGCAACAAGGAGGGCTCCCTTGACATGCTGGGCACTGACATCTGGGCTGCCAACACCTTTGATTCCTTCAGGTAAGCTGATGTTAGAGATTTGTGTGTCTTGTTGGTGCTCAGGTGGGTGCTGCCACGTGGCCTCCATCGCTGCTCCTCACATAGCCCATGGCACGAAGCACTGACAAACAACTTTCTAGTTGGATATTAGGAGAAACTTCTTCTTGAAAGAGCCCTGATGCAGCTGCACAGGCTGCCCAGGGGGGTGGTGGACTCCCCATCCCCACAGGTGTCCAAGAGCCATGGAGATGTGGCACTGGGGGATGTGGTCAGTGGTATGGTGGGGGTGGGTTGGGATTGGGCTTGGGGATCTCAGGGGTCTTATCCAACCGTAATGATTCTGTGAATGTACTTAAAGCATGGTGTGTGCTTAAGTGGGGCCTGCCACCAAACGTCTCAGAAAGGCACTGGTAGGATTGTTGGCAAGCATCTGAGAGCTGCACAGGCGAGGCTGAGCTCTGAGCTCTGCTCCTGGCCTTCTCTCTTTCACTCACTGCTGCTGTGCTCATGTGTTTGCTCTGCAGCTGCTGAGCAGAGCTGCTGCTTCAGCATGAGAAAAAACAAGGGTGCTTCCCTGCTCAAGCAGCAACAAGTCAAGCAGTGAAATGTGCCTTCTGTCCGGTGATACAAATTGCTGTGCAGGGGTCAAGCTCTCACTGATACTTGCTCCAGGTTGCTGGAGTGGGGAGAGCATCTGCATTGCACAGGCTGGGGCAGCCCCTGCTGCAGTATCTTCCTGGCACAGAGAGCAAATGCAGGTAACGAGGTGTGTGGTCTTCATGATGCATCTGCATCAAAACTGCGACTCAGTGCAAGCAGCACAAAAAAAGCACAGCACTGCAGTGTGAAGTTGGAGGCCTGTGGCATCACAGTGCACAGGTGGTGCATCCAAAGCACCAGCTGTCCTCCTCTGCAGGCTCAAGTTTGCTCCTGTGCTCTTAGCGTGGTTTTATTGACTTAGCAGACCGTTCACACTCTTTGTCCCTCTTTGTTTTCCTCCCCCAGTGGTGCCACGTGGGACCTGCAGCCTGAAAAACTAGATTTCAGCCAATTCCACAGGAAGCTCCGGAACACCTCCAAACACCCACTGCCCCACATCGACAGGGAAGGGTGAGTGCCACGTGTGTGCAGCTATCCCAGCCCCAGAGCTATGAGTGAGGTGATGCCCTCCAGCAAGGAGGGAACTTCTTTGCAGTGGGAATGCTGACATGATGGCACGGTGCATATGAAGGACCTGCTACTGTTTCCAAGGCTGCTGTAGTGCTGTGGATGGGGTGCAGGGTGACAGGGCCGAGGCAGCGTTTCATTTGGTGTCAGTGGCCTTGTGCCCACGTGAGCCTGTTTTGGAAACGAACACAATGACTTCAGAGACCTTTTTATGAGAGCCTTCTGCAGGGAAAGCTCATCCCTGTGTGCCGTCACAGAGAATTAACGTTGGTTCCACTGAGGCTTCACTGCTCATGTTTTTGTTTGCTCTCTCTCTGCCATAGGCTTGGAAAAGGGAAATATGAGGATGGTGACAGCATCAATCTGAACGACATCGAGAAGGTCCTCCCAGCGTGGCAGGTGGGTGCTGATGTGAGCAGAAGTCACCCATGTCTACACAGGGCTCAGGTCTCAAAAAAGGAGCTTCTGAAAGCACCAGGCTCCAAGAGCTGCCCAGGAGCAACCATGTGCTGGTCCAGGGCACATGGTGTTCCTCTGCCATGCACGTGCCTTGTGTGTAGCACCACTGCACTTGCTCCTTTTCTCAGCCTGATTCTTCTCTGGATCTGTCCCTGCAGCTGCTTTTTGTGGTTAAATGACCACACTGAGCGCTGGGGAAGCAGTGCTGTTGAAGAGGTCAGTTTGTGTCTCAGTATTTTCCAGTGCCCCAGTCCTGAAAGCACCTGTTTTCTCGTACATGCTTGATCTTTCTAGGCTTTAGGCCACAGGGGAAAAAACACTGGGGCCTGCTGATAATGACCCAGTGACTCTGCAGAATGAGGCTGCTCTGCCCAGGGAACCATTGGAAAAATGGAAGAATCAAAAGGAGTTTCCCAGTGTACTGGGACTGCATTGGTGGGCCACCGGCCGTGCCCAGTACCGTGTGCTCCGAGCTGGAAGACCCAGTGAAATGCTTGTTTTGGTGCTTTGCATTTTATTTTGATCCAGTATTTTAGTTAAACACGGCGTGGTTTGGAGATGCAGCCACCCTGGTGTGCACTGTGTGCCTATGGGAACCATACAGTTAGTGGTGGGGATTTGTCATGTTCAGCACTGACAAGTGAAATGTTCTCTGGCAGCTGCTCTAATCCTGATGTGTCATGCGCTGGATGTGAAGGTGATTGTGGAGAGGTGGTCATGCTGCTCTTCGGTACTTTAGGTAGCAATTTGGGATGCAGTGTGGGAGTGTTGGGGAAAATGCAGTGTGAGCATATGAAAGGAAATCGTTTGCCCTTTGGGGGGCTTTGCCTCGCTGTGTCCTATCCCCAGAACAGTCTCTTTCCAACGGAGGTGCACAAATCCTTGTTCTGTGTGTGCTTTAAGGTCTCGTGGGTTGCTCCTGGACCAGCTCTTTGGGCACACCTTAGCACCATGCCCTTCGTGGATGGAGAACGAGCATCCTCCAGTGTGACTCTGCTACAAAGGTTCTGCTCTGCTGGGTGTTCTGCAGCAGCTCCAGCAGTGAGAGCACCAGACTGCAGAGGGGCAGTGAGTCTTACAGGCTGCTTTGGAAATTCTGTGTCATGCACAGCATGAAATTAGGGCTAATTTCCAGAACACACTCAACCTCATATCTCTATCTTTACTCCTATTTTCACTGACCCGCTTGATGGGTGGGGCAGAATATTCTGGATATGGGGGCATTGATCCATGGAGCTGAGTTTTGGTGGTAGAACCTATCAGCAGTATTTCAACAGCACGCTGCAAGGCACACCCGTGTCTTTTTGGTGAGAAAAGAAATATGGAACAAAAAGAATCAGGGAAAGAAAAAAAAAAAACAGAAAGCAATAGGAAAAACTAACCGTCCTCCAAATGCTCTTTCCGCCACCGAGCGAGAAATGCTCGGCAGCCTTTTGTTTCGGCGCTGCAGAAGGTGTTCCGCTGCTCGGAGCTGCTCTGCCATCTGGTGGGAGCTGCAGGCAGAGCCCTCCTGCTCGCTCCTCTTTGTCTCCCCTGGCTCGTAGGATCTGCAGTTGGATTTGGACGCTCGTTTGCCCAAGCGCTGCCAAAAAGTGGAAGAAGATGTGAAGACGAGTGTTCTCCAGTCAGAAGGGCTTTCAGACATGGCTGTGTGTGCTGGGGGCACGTACAGCCTGCAGCCCTTGGCCACGTGGGCAGGTAGTGGCAGGGCAAGGGGAATTAATGTGGAAGACAGTGTTGGCATCCTTTGGTTTGACATCTTTATTGCCTTGCTGCTCACTGCCCTGCACACCGAGCGCTGTCTTCGCTGCTGGGCCTCTCATCACAAGAAAGACATCAGGGCCCTGAAGCATGCCCAGAGAGGGGCAGTGGAGCTGTGAAGGATCTGGTGGACAGGTCTTATGGGAAGCAGCTGAGGGAACTGGGATGGTTCAGTCTGGAGAAGAGGAGCTCAGGGGAGAGACCTCATCGCTCCCTGCAGCTCCTGAAAGCAAGGAGCGAAGTGGGGGTCAGCCTCTGCTCCTAGATCACAGCAGCAGGACAAGTGGTGGTGACCTCGTGTTGCACCAGGGGGGTTCAGGTTGGGCTTTGGGAGCGATTTCTCCAAAGAGCAGTGATGCAGTGGCGCAGCTGCCCAGGGAGTGGTGGAGTCCGTGTCCCCAGGGGTGTTCCAGAACCATGGAGATGTGACATTTGGGGACGTGGTCAGTGGGTGGGTTGGGGTTGGACGTGGGGGATCTTGGAGGTCTTTTCCAACCTTAATGATTCTGTGAGACTAATGTAATTCAGTTTTCTTTCTGATCTTTTGAACCTTTCCATCGTGTGCTTGGAATCAGAATACAAGTGCTAGTTTCTCTTCTGTAGACTATAGAGATGTCTGAGCTGCCCTGAGGGTAAAAAACAAGAGTCTCAGTGGGAGCTCCAAGCTGGGGAGGCATCTCTCTCCTCTTGCCTCCCTCCCCAGCTCCTGCTGAGCGTGTGGGCACAGCACCGCCTTCAGAGAAGGTTTCAGTCTCACCAGCCAGCTTCCCATCTCCCAAGGGTCTTTCCAATACTGCAACTGCTACAGCCGCTGCGGAAAGCCCCTGGCAGAGAGCCATGGCTGATCTTAGGTCACAACGCACTGAGACTCACACCCCTGCTTGCTGAGCAAAAAGCCTTCGTTGCTGCGATTTCCAGTAAGATCTCATCTTCCTGCAATCCATTCTGCTGTGGCGTTGAACCCAACTGGCAAGGATCATTTCCTTGGGAAAAGGAGTGGGCTGGGGGAGACATGGTGGCCTGTAGCCCTTCAGTGGGTGGTAGAGCAAGGGTTGACCACAGAAGGCAGGTTGCCATCTGCGTGCAGTCATGCCATCAGCTCGAGGCTCCTTGCAAGGGCACAAACCGCAGTTCTGGCAGTAGCGCAATACTGCTGTGAAGCCCTAAAGCAGTCATGAAAACAATGTTTTCTGTCAGACCTGCTGAAAAGGGAAGCTCTTCCAGTGGGTTTTTTTGCTTTCTGAGGGTCTTTTGTGTCTCAGACCTACAGCGAGATGCTGGCAGGAGGGGAGAAAGTGGGGTGCGTCCGTTCCCTGGATGGGCAGGCTGGGTTCCTGTTCAGGGGGTGGAAGGGTTGAGGATGACTGGTCTCACAGCCCTGAAGATTGCAGGTTTTGGCAGCTGGAAGGTGAAGTCACTGTGACGCCTCGGCTGCGGTGCGATGGGGAACCAGAGCAGTCAACAAACGGCACAGGGAGCTTTGCCTCGGGATTGCTGCTCGGTGACCGCCGGGACAGTGCGCCGTGCGGCACTAGAGGGCACCGCAGCACCGCTGCACGGCTCCGGGGCGCGCTCCGTGTAGAGGAAGCGGGACTTCATTCCAAGGGCTTTTTCCAAGCGTCGAAATGCAGCGTCTCGCGCCCATCCTGCGCCCAGGGGTGGGAGGTGCTCTGCAGCCACAGCGACACCAACTCTTCTTGGAAATCCGGCACCTCCACTTGTGCCTTTTGGCCCTTTTGCAGGGCTCCTGCAGGTGTGGACTTGCGGTGTTGTGCAAGAGTTGGTGCCGTACGGCTTTCCTTGGTGATGCCTGTGCTGGGAGGTCCTCACTTGTTTGGAAGGTGCTGCTGCCCGTTGGAAATGGGGGCTCATCCTGTCCACCTTCTGTCTTTTATCCGCCCCGTGCAGAAGGATGTGCCAACCTCAGCAGGAGGCAGTGGGGACTGCAGTGACATCCACTGCTGAACCACTGCTGCTTCACAGACCCCAGTTGTCCAGGTGCTGTTTTGCCCTAAGAAAAGTGATGGAATTTGGGATGTTTTACAGCTTATCTTTGGGACAGGATGGAGCTGCAGCTCTAGGCTGGGCTTACCAATGGGAATCGGTGGGGTTTGGAGGAGCTGTGGTGGGATGCAGAAAAGAGCCTGGCAGTAAGCAAGTGGCAACTAAAGCTCTGGTGAGAGGAAGGAGTGGAAAGGAAAAACATGTAGAGAAAAACAGGGAAAATATGCAGCATCTCCTGAGCAGGGGCTGTGGACGCTGCAGCCGGCTGCGTGGGCATGAACAGAGAGGATGAGACAGTGGTGCTTGCAGGACAGGGACAGAATTCCTGATATTTATTATATTTTTCAGAGTTCACCAGTAATTCTAGACCTGAGAATTGGTCTTCCAGGGAATTTGCTGGTTTTTGTATGGAGACTGGATTGTAAAGAGCAATGCTGTGGACATCTGAGGCTCTCAGACATGGCCATATTGAACTCTGGCTCAAGCCCAGCAGAGAGCAGCCCAGGCTTTGCTCAGGCTTCTAGCTGACTTTCCTTTCAAAAAGGTTTGTTTCCATGCAGCACTGTAGAGCTAAAGAAAGCCTGAAAGGTTTTGTTCTTTCCCAGTCCTTTCTATATACCATAACACTACTCCCTGCCCCCAGAATCCTGCCCAAACTTTATTTTAACTTCTAAATGGTGTTACATCTCCTTTGTTTTCCCAGAGGATTCGTTAGAAATCTGAGAGGTCTTTTCTAGCACTGCCTTGAATTCTGCTGAGTATTTTCCCAAAGTCATTTGCGAAGCAGCATGAAGTTTAAAAAGCTGTTGAAAGAAGGAGAACAACAACAACGAAAAAAATCCAAGTTTATAAAGATCCCAAACAAAAGCTTTGGCCAAGCAGATTTCTTGGACACTTCCACATCTTAATCCCCTTCCCCATTCTCTGTGAAATAATTTTTGATAAAATACAGGGAAAAAGAAGGATTTCTGTCCAAGAAGCAGAAGGACGGGCACGCATTCCTGCTGGCAGAGGAGCTTGCAGCAGCACAGCTCCTATCAGTTCTACCGATGCAGGTTGTCGTCAGCCCATGTCTAACAAAATATTTCCTGCCACATTGAAGGTTTATCCTTGTCCAGAAGATGCTTCCCCCATGCGCTGCCTTTCCTCTGCTGTGATGGAAATAGCGGCAGCAC